TGCAATATGTATGCATATTAGCAAAAGAGGGGAGAAGTATTAGAAAAACTCCCAATCTCAAGAGCCTATAGATTGGCTCTAAACTGTGAAGGCATCAGACAAAGACTTGAAAATACACCTTGCTTCTGTTAAGTGTGGGTCCCAGGAACAGCTGATGAATAGCAATGTAAAGTATCAGGAACCAAAATAATAAAATTAAAATTCAATTTTATTAGTATTTTTTAACAAAGTAAAATATACAAGATATAGCAACACAAGTTTCAACTGTAACACAGTCTTTCTCAAGTGCATGTATTCAACATACTAAAAATATGGTAAGTACACACTTCCTCTCAAATCCAAATTGAGATCCCACCCAACTTTAATTGGTAAGTAACTTCCCATCCGTATATGGAAATCGAAAGTTAGCCAATCCAAGATAGAGGGTACTCTTTATTAATTAGATATGTTTGATTGCCAGTGCCCATATGGGGAGATTGTGAGGCTCTTGTTAATTATGTGCCTACAGGAGCTGTGTTATGCAAACCTGTTTGGAGCTTCAACTAGCTCTCAGCCAATGAGCCAAGCCCTGCACTGCTGGCCTTAGCTCAACCACCTAATTTCCCAATTTTTAAAAAACAAACATGAGACATAAATGTATATTTTATTTACATTTATTAAGAATATTTTACCGAAATTATGTTATTTTGCAGTCTTTGCTAGGGTGATATAAGAAAATCATTACATATTTGGCCACAAAATAGCCAAGGTGTGGGGTACCTCTGGACTCACGAAAAGTCATCCTTCAGCACTCAGGAAAGGAAAAACCCCCTGTGGAGGAAACCTCTGGGGAACCATGGCTTGAAGGATTGCCCTTCCCTCTGGGCATTAAGAGGCAAATACAGAGAGTTTATTGAAAACAGAGCATGCTCTCTTTGTGAACTATATAAAACGATACACAAACAGACAGACCGGAGGAAGGATGGAAGGAAGACAGACAGGCAGGCAGACAAATAGACAAAGCAACAGCCACACAGAAAGATTAACTATTTAAATAGATACACAGACAAACAGACAGGAAGGAAGGAAGACAGACAGAAAAATATACATACAATAGGTGCTTTTCCTCTTCATTATCCTGTTAAATTCTTCATAATGCAGCTAGCAAAGCTTATCCCTCTTCTTTGAAGAAATTATTTGATAAAGGGTATATGAGTAGGCATGCAAAAATGTAGTACTCCCCTGCTAGAATTTCCATTGGTTCAGATGGAATTGAAGGTGGTCAAGCTCCAAATCTTCAGACACATCCAGTTGAGGTATAGATTAGAAACTTGCTATTGGGATGGTATGACATCCCTGGATATAGTGTGATGCTCTGTCAGATCCTCAGATACATCTGCAAGGTAATAGAATGTTCAAGCCGGTATAACAGTATTAACATTTATGACATCACAGCATGATATCACCTTGTATGATTTCACTGTTAGGCATCACTGTACCTGATATACGATAAGATGGAATAATATTATATTTACAAATAGAATAAAGAGGACTGGGATAAAAATACAAAAGACATGTCCACAATAAATATACATTTTATATTAATCTAAAGGTAAACAGTGCAATTTCCACAAATTTCTGATTTTTTTTGTCCTCTTTAGACAAAAACATGTTTTATTACTGTATACACTGTTATACCTTTATTTTGAATCCTCTATCAGCTCTCTCCAGTCATCAGCCAGAGCCCTCTCTTTTCTTCCTCACTCCCTCATAAAATCATTCCCAATTGCCTCTATATATTCCTCCAGACAGTATGCATCAACATAGTATATTCAAATAGAAATTAGTGCTCAGGCAACACGCAAACTGTAATATTGTGCCAGAATAAGTGAGAGTTTGGAATTAAAGACAAACAAACAAACAAATTAGCACAGTAATACAGTTGTTGATTAACTGCAATTCATTGTTTTATATATCAAAATACACTTAGAATGAAATGATATATATATATCTATGTATATATAAATAAATAAAAATAATACGAAATATACATAAGACCATATACATAATTATATAAATAATTTCATAAATATAGACGTAGACTTCAAACATATAAATATGAATATATATATTTCAATTCTAAGTACATATTTATGTAATATTTTTACATAATTAAGTAACTTTATTGATGTCATAGGAACTCAGTGGTAACCAACTGTCTTTTAATTTTTTCACAAATAAAAAATAAAGTTAATAAATTAAAAAATAAAGAAATATTTATATATCTATATATATGTATAAATATATATATATCTTATATATAACATCATACTAAGAGTATTTTTGTTAATATGTACATATATTAATATAAAAATACACTTAGAGTAAAATTACACACATAATGACTATATATATTGTATATATATATTATTATAAAAAATGTATATTAATTAAAAATAAAAAATGTAAAAATAATAAAAAATTAAATACAATTATATATCAATTATATATATATTATATATATATTATATATATATATATATATAATTTTTTTATTCTAACTGTATTTTGATATTTATATAGAATTTAGAATGAAATGATATATATATCTATGTATATATATAAATAAAAAATAAAAATAATACGAAATATACGAAAAATACGAAATATACATAAGTCCATATTCATAATTACATAAATAATTTCAGAAATATAGACGTGGACTTCAAATATATAAATATGTATATATATTTCAATTCTAAGTACATATTTATGTAATATTTTTACATAATTAAGTAATTTTATTGATTGCAATTTGGGGGACCTGCCTGACAACCCAGGCAGAAAGTCCAGAGAATTTAATTCGCTAGCCCTATATTTAACCCTGTAACTTTCCAAGAAACCATAAAACTTGTACATGGGGGTACTGTTTTACTCAGTCGACTTCGCTGAAAACAAATATTAGTGATTCAAAACATTAAAACATATAACAGCGATGATATTGTTAGTGAAAGTGAAATTTTTTGCATGTTTCAGACACAAACAGCACTTTCACTGATGATATTATTGTGGTGATACGTTTTACTGTTTTGAAACACTAATATTTGTGTTCAGCAAAGTCTCCCAAGTATAACAGTACCCCCATGCACAGGTTTTATAGTGTTTTTAAAATTACAGGGTCAAATATGAGGCTTGAAATTTGCCAGATTGGTTATGTTGCCTTTGGTTGCCCAGGAATGAGAATTACCCCCATGATGGCATTCCATTTTCAAAAGAAGACAACCAAAGGTATTGCAAATGGGGTATGTCCAGTCTTTTTTAGTAGCCACTTAGTCAAAAACACAGGCCAAAGTTAGCTTTCATAATTGATTTTTGCATTTTTAATACACAAACAAATATAAATGCTAACTTTGTTTGTGACTAAGTGGCTACTTAAAAAGACTGGACATACCCCATATTAAATACCCTGGGTTGTCTACCTTAAAAATATATGTACATGTGAGGTGTGATTCAGAGATTTATGACAGATAACAGTGTTACAATGTCACTATTGATAAATGTAGTGTTTGTGTAAAGCAGGTACAGTCTGCATGTGTGCATGGGGGTATAGTGTATTTGTGTATAGCAGTTGTGGTGTGTGTGTGTATATAGGGGGTATAGCATTTGTGTATAGTGATGCACTGTTTGTATAGAAGTATGAGTTTGTATATTGGGGTGTACTGTGTGTATGTATGGGGTATATTGTGTGTGTATATAGGGGTGCAGTTTGTATATATAGGTAGAGTGTATGTGTATAGGGCGTGTAGTGTGGGTATACTGGGGTGTAATGTGTGTATAGGGGCTTTATTAATTTAATAATTGTTAAAACCAACCTACACACATTCATCCCCCCTCCGTGGTGCTTTGCATTACTATCATGATACCTGGTTATACAATATGTCCCCCATTATGTCAATGCTTCCATGTATTCTATTGTGTCCAGGCAACTCTTGTCTCCCATGTCCATGCCCCCCATGCATCCATTTCCTTCTCTTTTGGCCAAGTCCCCACCTTGTATCCATGTCCCCATGCCTTCCATTTGTCCATGCCCCCCATGATTTAATGTTCCAACATTTTGTCCATATGGCCACATTGTGTCAATACCCCAATAACCACCATATCCATGGTCCCACCTTGCATTCCGGTCGCCGATCATTGCCATGTCCCCCATTGTGGCCATGTCCCCATGATTACTTTGCAGCCATGCCCCCCATGTCCTTTTGTTTCCATGTCTCCATGTACCCTTTACTTCCATGTCCACATGTTCCCCTTGAGGCCATTCCCATTTACCCTCTTCTGTTTTCATGTTTCCATCTCCCCCCCATGTATCCATGTCCCTTCTGTCCTCTTATCCATGTTCCTTCTGTCTTCTAATCCTCCTTGTGTCCATGTCTACCACTTGTGGCCATGTCCCCATCTCCTCCCTGTGTCTATGCCCATCTGTCCCACATTGCCTACAATTGTGACCATATCCCCACAGTATGTCCCCATGTCCTCCTTGTCTCTATATCCCTTCTTTTGTGTATGCCCCACCTTTGAGTCCATAATCCCACTTGTGCAAATGTTCCCCATGTGGCTATGTCTTCCTTGTGTCTATGTCCCCCTCTTGTGTTCATACCACCATGTTCCCCTTGTGTACATGTCCTTTCTATGTCCCCTCCATAGTGTCCAGGTCCCTCTATTGTGTCCATGCCCCAACTTTTGCATGTGCATGTCTCCCTCCTGTATCCATTTCCCTACCATGTAAATATGTCCCCACTAGAGTCCATGCCCTCTCTTATGTCCATGTCCCCCCTTTGTGTGTATGCTCTCTTTTATATTTATATGTCCCCTTGTGTGGTTTGTGTTCTGGCCAGCACCTTGTGTTTTAAAGCCAGGCCCAGCAGCATGGGAGTGAGCATCCTATGAGCAAGTATGGTCTGTCAATACTTTTGTCAAGTGCTTTATGGAGGGGTGGGCTATAACAAGACATCTCTCTATTGGTGCACACAGCATAGGGCATCAGAGACAGATGGCACAATGGGTGGTGGGTTGGAGTCTGGCACCTCTGCTCCGCACATACCTTTCTCTGTGTAGGCTGCCTGAAACCCATACTGTTATGGTACCCTGTGAAGCCACCCTTCTGTTTTCATATCTTTTGGGTGCAGAAGGGTGACTTCACTGGGTTCCAATTACTCTAGCTGAAGTACATGGGAGCCTGGGGCTATCACAGGCTCTCTCCTACCTCTGATCTACCACTCTTTGCCTCTTTCAAGCCAGTTTGGCTTTCTCTGTAAACTAGGAGGAAGTAACCTGTACTCACTTCCTCTCAGCACTGCAAACCTGACAGAGCCCAGTCTCACTATTAAGGCACCACAGTCTTATGTCAGGGTGACCTGATAGGCCCTGCAGCTCATGGGCCATGATGCAGTCAGCAAGACTTCTGTAGTTTCGCCAGTGTTAATTGCCTATCCTATGATGACAAACCACACTTTGCACTTTAACATTTTCTCTGTTATTTACGAGATCATGGATATGGAACAGCACAAGTACACTGTATAAATTAGGACAAGTAAAGTTATATCTGTCTTTGCAGTGGTGGCCTTTGTGAATACATATTGATTTTTGTTGCCTTGTCTTTTGTCTTCTAGTTTAACCAAGGAGAGAAACATCAATTAAACATATTGCTCTGTTCCCTTGCTAATCATACAACTGATTTAACATACTTAAAGTCTGACATTGTGGCATATTACCTAAGGAATTTCAAACACAGTACAGAAATAATGGCTGTCAACATGAATGATTGTTGGCCACAAAAATTTTTTTTTTTTTTTTAACTGTTTAATTAAACTGAATTGCCTTCTATACTGTAGAATATAACAAACTAAGTGGATCCCAAGTGTAAGGAAAAAACATTCCACAGGCAGAATATTTATCAAATAACAGGAGTAGCTAAATTCCAGTACTGTAAAGCTCATTATCCAAGTGCGTGAAACAATGCCATAGTTGTGTGGATGGTAACAATAAGGCAATAAGGGAAAAATAAAACAGTAGTCTGTCCCCTTTCTATTATTTCCTTATCGAATTGATAAAATAAAAAACACAAAAAATGTGACGGCTGAATCAATCTCATAATGAAAGTAAAAATATCTTCTTGACTCCTCAATGGTTGATTTGTGTTTCTTTATAATCCCCAAATTACTTTAACTGACTCTTATCCAGTCTCTCTGCCACCACAATTTAAAACATCTACCTCTGCTAAAACTTAAACATGAGTTTGTTCCATAGTTTCTTCTCAGATTATTTTTCTCATATTACATGACTATGCTACCTTGAAGTTCCCAGTACGAGTTGTATGAAAAGTCTTGTGTGTGTTTTGCATGTGTATGACACAGTGTAAATAGCCATTCACTTTCTTCAGTCTGTCTGCTTTTTCTTTTTTGAGCTATGGTGGTTTTTGACATTTGATTTTTTTGGTAAAATTTTGAGTAAGAAACTATTATTGTAGAATAGTGGATAATCTATGTATTACTTCTAATATTGTTCATAAACTTATGGTCAAAGCTAGACTAGATAATCAAATGAAATATCATTTAATATCTTTTTGGCCTTGCGTACTCAATTCATACAGATGGGATTAGTTCAGAACACTGCAAATAAATCAAAGTATAAGGTCATCAAAATGAGTCAAGTTAGATTTCAGATCAGCACGTTTGAAGCAGTTTGTCTCATATACACCTTTACATATGCACTTAGCTATGGAATACATTAGGATGAAAATCCATGGGTTGTATCATGGATTAATTGAAACTGAATTAATTGGAACAAAACATTTGTCATTGCAATTGCAACCAACGCAGTAAGCATGTGGTGAGTGGTGTATCAAGCAGGGTTGCTACAGTCTATATTGTCCTGAAGGTCCATATGTGAAGGAGGGGGCTAGCCAGGCTTGAAAAAACTGTTGCAAAACTGTTATTCAGTAGATTGGCAATTGAGTATTATGCTAAGTAAAGTACTACAGGGAGCACGTTAGTTGAGCAGCATTGAATTTTCACCTGATAAACGGCTAGTGGGAAGCAGAAATTTTGATGCAAAGAAAAAACAAACAAATAATTCCAGAAAAAGCAAGTTCTCCGAATCCAAAAGGAAAAGTTTATTCCACAAGGTACATAAACAAACAGGGGAAAACACAAGCCCCCCAAAAAAATACTTCCTTACATTTTGTGGGCCACCCGGTCCTTAGACATAAGAGTCCGAAATTTTGAACTCTGGTCGGGAACATACTTTCATTTAACTGGAAAAGTTTCACGTTAAAAAAAACCAACCAAAGTATACAAACAGAAACAATTAGGTAAGGAACTGTAAGTATATACTTTAGCATGTAATAAGATGTTTATTATGGAGGTAATGCGTTAAAACTTTTAGGAAGCAGCGAATTGTCACCCTACCAGGTTTTCAATTAAATCCATCCAGTGTTTGTCTATTCTGTAAGCTCACACCAGAATGTAAACTACAGTATTTATATGTAAAACAAGTAAGAAATGGGATTTGTAATTCTTTCACTGAATTTGAATGTATTTTACTCTAAAAATAGTTGAGATGTTCTCTGAAAAAGGTTGTCTCATCTGGGCATTAATTCATGGCAATGAGCCACCATGAGAATAGGCTTTCACAACAGATGGCGAATCTTTTTCTTGACACACGACATTGATTAGTCACTCCAAGCCAAATAGTCAGTGAAGGCACAAGCATTCAAAAGTACAATGTTGGATGTTTCCAGTTAGATAGAATTATTTCACAGAAACAGTTACGCGTACCTGGCAGATAATAAATAAATTTAAAAAAAACCAAAAAAAAAAACCAAGAAAATATAAAATTGAATTTTTTTAACTCAAAGTGTACATGTATTAAAGCTTGACGTTCCTTAATGAACTTCACATGGAAAACATAGTAAACACCGTAATGGTATTTTGAAAGCTACAAGTATATTGACAAACAAGCAATACATAAAATAGATGAACAATGTAAAAATGTAAAAGACTGCAACAGAACTAAATGTGAGAGGAAGGTATAGTGAATATTTCTTTATCGCTTTCACTTTTTAATTAGTTTACCATCTGCTGATCGTTAATTTTTTTTTTTTTTTAAAGTGGACTTTTAAAATAATTTTACACTATCGAAATAAGAATCTTCTGCATGATTAAAAAAAAAAGTTATGGTGAAGATTAAGTTAGTATATGATAACATAATGGGGCTATTGGTTTCCAAGCCATTTCCCTATAATTGATGACCAGGTGATGCCCAGTCTCCCTTGATATAGAGCAAGTAGATGCCAAATTCGTCTGGATAAATAACTGCACCTACCCCCACTTGGCTAGATAGGACCAAGGGATACCCAGCCCCCTGTTCCTAATAAGTAAACTAAAATTCAACTCGTTAAGGTGAGTATGACTGTGCATCATTTGGACACTACACCACACTAAACAATTATTTTATTTTAGCAGTCACCAAAACATGCAATAGCAAATAACCCGTATCAAATAATGCAGAAAAGACATCAAGATATAGGAACATTGCATTGCTAGCACTCATTGCAATTCAACTTCCCCTTGTAACCTCCCAACTCTAAAAGTATTATAAAAGAAGTCATATATCCTAATAAATTATAAAAGTATCACCTTGACTTGAAGATAATAGTTTTAATTAATTTGTACCTACACATTTCTATTTTGTTTTCGAAGGGGGGAGGGTGGGAGAGAAAGAAGAGACTTGTGTTGTGCAAATAAACAACCCCCCACCCCCAAAAAAAAAAAAAATCTAAAGAGTTATTTTCTAGCTGTTAGTATTTCTAATGTGAGGCTAGACAGGTTTGGAACAATTCCTAAAATCTCAAATAAGGTATGTGCACTTGTCTGGTTAGAACGCGTGAAGCAGGATAGCAGTAATTCAGATGAGGACCCAAAATAGTTAAATTATGTCAGAACTGCTTTTACAGCAGCCTTTTTTTTTAATAGTTGCTCGAGTGCTGCAAAATATGTTATGTGCCAACAATCTGCTAATGGAAGATGCATGGTGAGAAAATTGGCTGAGATAATTGCCAGGTTCTCTGAATGGGCTGCCTTTTTGTAAATATGGTAATTTTTTTGTGTGTGACAAACTCTAAATTGAGATCTAACGATACACTTTCCAAGATTAGAAGTATAAATAATGGAAAAGGTTGATGTGTGTTCCATTTGCGTTGACCTCGTGGCTGTAATTCTAGATAGGATTTTGCAATGTCGACGCCTATGCTAATACCTTCAGTGCAATAATCTGCCTATTACCGCTACACTTTAACACTTTCGCTTTGTTATTCTATATTTATTTATGCTCTTACCTCTGTTGTGCTTCGTATATCGGCTGACTGTTGTATGTAATTGATTCACACAGGCAGTTTGAAACCTGGACTGAATATGAATTAGGTTAATATATATAAAACTAATGAGTTCCATGCATAATTTGGATTCTGTCTTAAATAAATGTCAGCTAACAAACAAATAGTATCAACATTCATTTGATTATACCATAAATCTTTTATCATTAAAATTCTCGTGTCACAGCCAGTATAAACATTATTTCTCTTCGTGCCATGACTATAGTCAGACGTATTACAGATTACACTGTATTTAACTCTGCATGGCATACAGTTGATTGAATGAACCAATATTTATCTTAACCATCTGATATATAAAATAATGACCATACCTTCACTCAGATATCCTTTGTCTACAATACACACTTTTTTCCCCCTTTTAATAATTTTTTTTTTTGAAAACAAATAAATTAAAAATAGCTTTTGGAATGAGTCTGAAATCAAATAAAACCAGGAAAGGTTAACATCTTAACATGTACAGCTTGGAAGAAAGACGAGACAGGGGGGATATGATAGAAACATTTGAATATATAAAGGGAATCAACACAGTAAAGGAGGAGACTATATTTAAAAGAAGAAAAACTACCACAACAAGAGGACATAGTCTTAAATTAGAGGGACAAAGGTTTAAAAACAATATCAGGAAGTATTACTTTACTGAGAGGGTAGTGGATGCATGGAATAGCCTTCCAGCTGGAAGTGGTAGAGGTTAACACAGTGAGGTAGTTTAAGCATGCGTGGGATAGGCATAAGGCTATCCTAACTATAAGATAAGGCCAGGGACTAATGAAAGTATTTAGAAAACGGTTCTTATCTGCCGTCACAGTCTATGTTTCTATGTTTCTATTTAAAGCTTCAAACAATTTATGCAAGGATTCTAAGCTATCTAAAGCCCAATATGCATCAAATG